CACACACACACACACACACACACTCCCAGTCAGTCATTTCATTAGCATACAAAAAGATACTCTCATCACTCTGGAGATAGTGCTAGGAATGGGAGATTGTGCCAGGAATGGGAGATTGTGCCAAGAACTGGAGACAAAGACCAAATGTTTATTTTTTATTACATCGCAGCTTTTTTTTTTATTACAAAGTCATCTTGTAGAGTCATTTTCTGATCACCTGATCTCAGGTAGCCCTAACCACAGTCATTCATATCAGCCTATTCTACCGCCTGGATTTCACATCTTGAATATGTGTGAGTTTAACAGGCTCTCCCCACAACTAGAATGAAAGCTTCATGAGAACAGGGCTGGGTGAACATGCTCACCACAGTATCCCTAGCATCTGGCACATGGAAGGTGTGCAGTAAATATGACAGGGCTGGGTGAACATGCTCACCACAGTATCCCTAGCATCTGGCACATGGAAGGTGTGCAGTAAATATGTGCATAACTCAGTGATGCTGAGGGGAGAACCTCAGGCAACAAGACCCTGGCCATGACCTCTTCCTGTCTGTGTTGTCTTCCTGCAGGTGAACCAGAACAGCACCTCCTCCCACTTAGGAAGCTCGTGATTTCCAGGTAGGCCTGTGGACTCCACTGAGGGCTCCCACTGCTTCTGAGCCCAAGAGCCACTTTTCTGAAAAGGCTTGTCTTTCCAGAGCCCCCCTGGGGAGAAGTGTCCACCAGGGTGGGCTGACCCAGCCCCATCAGAGGTTTCCATGGTGACAGGCTGGGGGAGCTATTTATAGAAATGAGAATTAGTCTCTTAGCTCTGGATCAAGGATGGGGGCAGGGATTGATGCTGAACCAACCAGAAAAAGGTTTTTCTGACACTGGGAAGGGTGCAGGAAGGACCACTATGATGGGGAGGGGGGATTCTGGAACCATTTTTGCACAGAACCATTAGCTCTCTGCTAATCTGGCTTCTACAAACAGCATCAGGGTTGGCCCAAAGCAGTTAATGTTCTAAAAATAGTCTAAGCAGTTCTCTTCTAAGAATAACTCCCATGGCACTGGGCCATGTATTCCTCCTGTGTTGCTCATTTAACCCTCAGTGTCCTTGAGAGGCAAGTGACACAATTCTCCCATTTTACAGAAGAGAAAACCAAAGCACAGAGAATGGCTTTGGCTTGCCCAAGGCTATGTAGCCACCAAGTGGCCGAATGACTTTTTCCCCAAAAGTCATCTCCTCCAAAGTTTGCTTTTAGTGAGCAATTTTAAGTGCATGTTTATCCATCCCTGTTTTGCTAAGGGGTAGGGAAGCAGATTGAACTTGGCAATTCAAAGATTTAAGACTCCAGGCTTAACTTCTCTTACCATCTATTTTCCACATCTGGAGAATGGTGATTCATCAGTGCCCACTTCCCAGGGTGGTCATGAGATGAAGGGAGCTGGTCCAGGTGGGAAACTGTAAAGTGCTGGGCCCTCCCTGTGGCTGGGGCTGGAGTTAAAGCTCCAGTGAGTGAGCTCACTTTGTTATGCAACCCCTGCGTCCCTGATCGGGCTCCAGGAAACTGAGGGGAACCCTGCAGATAGGTCAGGACCAGCTTGCACTTCTACTATTTTAGATTGAAACAGAGCTTTCAGCCTGGATTCTACTTTTAGTCTCTTTATTTTTAGATAATCAGCATATTTTTTATTTGTTTTAATTTATTTTTTATTTTTTAAATTCACTTTGTACCAACCTGTAAGGCTGGGAACATTATCAGGGTTCCCATCTTGAGTTGTGCTAAGATCCCAGAGTTCTATTTAATTCCAAAGAAAAGAACCCTTACATTGAAAACAGTCTTTCTTCATGTTTCTCCCTAAATTTATTTGCCTCACTTGCTTTCTGCAGATTTATTAGTAGAATCTTGAATGTTCTCATTAATAAGACCAGATTTATTCCTCACTTTACTGTTTAAAAGAGATACTATATACGGAGTGTTCTAGCTAATCCCTGGTACAGAAGTGGCCTTGAACAAATGCTAATCTTTACCTTGCCTCCAGAAATCCACTGGTGTTCATCTAGTAATTACTGCCATTTGCTCTTTTTTGGTGGCTGATGGGTATAGGAATCTAAACCCTTGACCTTAGTGTTATAACTCTGAGCTCTGACTAACTGAGCTAACCTGCCAGCTTGGTTTGCTCTTTAATGAATAAGAAAAGTATATCTCTGAGGTCAAGTGGATGCAGGTTGAGATGTGGGTAAGAAACCAAGAAACATTTTTAAATTTAAATTCTCTCTGGCCATCTGGGTTGCATATATAAAACCTTATATGCTTATGCGAATGGATGAAGACTATACGTTCTGCAGTCACACATATAAATATAAAAGATCTTTTTCAGAATTGCTTCTCTGGGTCTAATACAGTCTTCCCCCTTTTCAGATCTCTGTCAATGGCTTTGCTGCCAAGAAGAGAAGAAACTGCATTTGAGTGGAAATCGGACCTCTAATCCAAGCATATTGCTTGCTATTAATCGCCAAAACAGGACTGCTAATGAAGAATGTATTTGCATATGTTTGCAAAAGCTGAATCATCGAAAATGTACCTCGAAACTCTCTATCTTTGGACACTGTAGGGTGGAGAGTGAAGAGCGTAGAGTAGTCCGGTTTTTGAAACTTAGGTATTTTATATTTTTCCCCTAAAGAACTTTTTTTAAAGAAATGGATTTGCCATCCTCCTTAAATTGCAGGACTGCCTTGGTGGCTTTGTTTGCTGGGACAAGGCCCACAACCTGTGCCTCTCCTAATGACCCTTACTTTGAATTCAAAGACTCTATTTAAGAAGTTAATATATGAGGCTTTCTTTAATTCCTTCTCAGTTCAGTTTCACAGGAAAAAAAAATTATTTGAATAAAGTGAACAGGGGTTCATTTGTCTGTGCCTTACTTTACTCAGTGAATAGTTTTTTTGTTTTTTTTTTTCTTTTTTTCCATATTGCATTTTGCCAGGAAGGTTAGTGACAAGCAGAAGCTAGAGAATATAGGTTTATGCAAAGCACAGCTGAACTCCTGTATCAGGGGTCCCCAAGGCCATCCTCAGGTTCACTGACTTGCTAGGAGGACTCAGAACTCAGAAGAGCTGTTATACTCATGGTTATGGTTTGTTACAGCAAAAGGATACAGGTTAAAATCAGCAAAAGAGGAAAGTGCATGGTGGTAAATTCTGTATGTAAAAGCAAAAATACAAAGAAACATGAAGTTAAATTATAGGAAAAATATAGCTGATAGGCAGCTTTTAATCAGTTTAATTTCTAAGGTAATATTAATGTATTTTCTATTGCTAATTAAGTCATTTAAGTAAGGAAGGATTATAAAGCAAGAAATTGATTTAAAATAAAAGGTGCATAGGGCAGAGTACAGAGTAGTCCTGGAGAGACCAGCAGTGAGCTTCCAGTTGTCCTCTACTGGTGGGGTCTTTCAGATACACTTAATTCTCCCTGCAGTGATGTGTGACAGCATGCACAATGTATATCTAGTCAGGAAGCTCACCTGGGCTGTGATGTCTGAGTTTTTTATTGGGGGTCAGTCACATGGCCATGGAGCAACCACATAACTTACCTTAGTTACTCAGTCACAAGCCCCTCCAGAGGTCAAAGTGATACAGCATGGCCCAAGGCTCCCACCATAAGTCTCATTAGCACAAACTATCTGGCCCGGTATGGCCCAAGTCCCCAGGTATACAAAGACACTCCTTAGGGAAGATATTCCAAGGGTTTAGTCATTATCTCCCAGGAGCCCTTTCTTTGAAATGTGCCGGGGTTTAGACACTCCACCTGCAAAGTTAACCCTTTACTACACAGTCCCTAAATGCTGAGTGATCAACGGTTTCATTAAGGTCAAGGTGTTTTACTTGCACTTCCTTGCCTTACATCTCATGATGATACATGAAGCTTTGGGAAGGTGGTGACTTACTGTGGATGCGGGTATGGATTTGGGAGCCAGCCGACATATTGGCTATGTGGCTTGAGCTGTTCACAGGTTTATTGGGAACGCCTAGTGGATAATGTTGGCAGTGGTGCTTGGTACCTGATGAACCCTCAGTGTAAGGTACCTCTTGTCTCTTCTCAACTTGAGACTGCAGTGGAATGGCTTTTGAGGGTATGAGACTTCTTTTTTTCATTCAATCTCCTGCTCAGTTTGCCAAGTGTGGTGCTGTCTCTTTAAGAATCTGGTGACAGCTGTGCATCTCCTCCCAACAGAAAACCATTTATGTCTGGTTCCACATAGATGAGAAGTCCATCCATGAGACCTTGGGTATTCACAGAACTGCCTGGGAAAACATTGAAAGTATGGGGAGAGAAGAGAGGGAACAGATTCTGTTTCCAGCCCCCAAATGGTGAGATTGGGTCATATCCCCCAAAATAAGTCTCAAAATCCACTCCCATTTCATCTTCCCTGAGTTGATCTGAAAAGATTTTTTATTTAGAATACTACATGAATATATTATAAAATAAGAAACAATTAGAAGAATTAATTGTAAGAATGCAAGAGGCCTTTTTTGCACTTCGTCTCAACATTTCCTTCCTTCCCTAATGGTAATGCTACCATTTTCTGTTTGGAACATAGTATTCCAGACTTTTCCTGTAAATGTCCATACATATAAATATTTATATCTAAGTATATGGTCTTAAAGATGCATAAAAATGCCACTCTGAATGGGTTACTCTAAAGTGTACTTTAATAAATTGCACTGGAGGGTTTTTGAAGTAAACACATGAAGCTCTGACACCATCCCTTCAACAGCTGCCTGTATTCTAGAGCACACTATCCTTTTAGAGCATTCCACTTCTGCTAGGTCCTTAGCCTGTTTCTGGCTTTCACCACGACTGGCAAGCTACAGTGGGTATTCCTGTGCATCCCTCTTTGTGCAACTGTATGAGTTGTTTCTTCCCGTCTTGAGTCTCCCCTAGTTCTGACTCCAGAGCTGATTATGTACAATAATAGCACCCAAGTAACGTACCAAGTAATGTTACAATGTTCTCACATATGGCAAGTTAAGGAATCTGAAGAGACGATGTATGTTGCCCAAGCTGGATAGTGGATGGGCCAGGGCACAAGTGATGATTGGCTCACTGCTCCAAGGTATCCCAAGAAAGGCTCGGAACAAGGCTTTAGTTTCACAGTGAAGTCAAATTTCAGCCCAAATCAGGGTACATGGGTGCAATCTATAAAAAAAGTTAATATTTATGCCTTTCACCCCAGCAATTCTACTTATTATGGGGAGATTTTGACAAGGTTCCAAGCCAAGTGTTTTGTTTCCTTCTTTAAGCAGCAGAACCCCCCATATACCCCTTACACACACAGACACACAAATCAAATCACATGTAAGAGTTCAATCTATAAAACAAATAAAAGTGGCTGTTCAAGCCAAGTGTTTTGTTTCCTTCTTTAAGCAGCAGAACCCCCCATATACCCCTTACACACAGAGACACACAAATCAAATCACATGTAAGAGTTCAATCTATAAAACAAATAAAAGTGGCTGTTCTGATGAGGACCCCATCCCTCCCCAGGCACTTCTCTCTGAAGCACTTTGTCATAGTTAAGCTTTTGTATTTAATTGCCTGTTGAGTTGATGCAAGTTGGTCTTACTAGGTTGTAAACTCCATGAATGCAGGAACCATTCTTTTTAATTGATTACCATTTATCCCCATAGTCTACCATGCTTAGCATATCATAGGTTGATAGCCAGCTTCCAAGATTGCCTTCGGGGAACCTCTCCTGGTATACATGCCCCCTTTGGTATGTTGTTCCTTTCCACACTGAATAGGGCTAAGGTTCCAGGTTAAATGCAGGATAAGGGTTAAATTTGAATTTCAGATGATAATTTTTTTAGCAATATTGCATGAGAAATACTAAAACATTCATTGTTTTATCTGAAATTCAAATTTAATGTGGCATCCTGTATTTTTATTCGCTATATCTGGCAATCCTAATTAGGGCTGACTGTGTAACAAGATATTGCAGAAATGACAGTGTGACTTTGGAGAGTAGGTCACAAAAAACCTTGTGGCTTCTGCCTTTCTCTTGGTTCATTCATTTGTTCCGAAGGAAGCCAGCCAGCCACTATGTCTGAGGACACTCTGCAGCACTATGTAGAAGTTCACATGGCAAGGAACTGAGACCTGCCAACAGCCAGGACAAGCTTGCTAGCCATGTCAGAAAAACACTTTGGAAGTTGATCATATAGCCCTGGTCAAGCCTTCTTCAGATGACTGCAGTTCCAGCTGACGGCTTGACTGCAACCCCATGAGAGACCCTGAGACAGAACCACACAGCTAAGCCACTCTCAAGTTCCTACCAAAAAAATTGTGAGATAATGTTTACAGCTGTTTCAAGTTGCTAAATTTGGAGGCAATTGTTACACTACTATAGATAATGCATAGATACTAATTAAATACTGTAAATGAATGAATGAATGATGAAGGCTGTGGTTCACTTTACCTCTGTGCTTTTTGAAGATACTTGCTTTACAGATAATACCCCAGACCTGCAGAACCTCATGTTCCAGCTTTCTATATAAAAACAAGTCTTCAAGAATTTTTGAAAGATAAGTAGGGTATAGATACTTGCTTTACAGATGATACCCCAGACCTGCAGAACATCATGTTCCAGCTTTCTATATAAAAACAAGTCTTCAAGAATTTTTGAAAGATAAGTAGGGTAGAAACCATCTGTAAGGAACATTTATAGGGAAATCAAATTTGCTAATGTCAGCTGATCTGGATTTTCAATTCTGCCAAGTTCAGGACACCATATATATTTCTGTGACAAAATTCAAAATAAGAATAAGCCATGTGCAACTGTATAATGTCACTGTCCTAGAAAAAAGTACATGTGCTAGACTTTAAATATATCAGCTTTGAAATGCCACATATGGATTGTTTCTATGGTACCAACCTATTTAAAGTTGTAACTGAGCAAGAATTTTTTCCCCAAAATCTTTTGGAGGTAACATGGAAGCCATGCTGTAATTCATAGGCTGCATAAGGGAGTAGTTAGGAGTGTGGACTCTGGGATGGTAATAGAAACTGCCTTAGAAAGTTAAGGAATTGAAGAGATGATATATGCAGAGGGTTTGTCTGTGTGACCCTGAACATACAGGAATCACTCTGTAAGTAGAACTCTGTTAAGTAAGCAGAATCAGTGTGAGGACCCACGGATGGTAGAGCAGAGAAAGCACCAGCCTGGAAGTCTGAGCTGCCGGGTTCCAGGCCTGGCTCTGTTCTTAAACTCTCTGTGTGGCACTGGCACCTTCTCTCTTCCAGGGCCTTCCCCACTGCCTCATCTGTGAAAGGAGAGGTATGGACCTATGAGTATTGGAGGACCCTGCCAGACTCCTGCCCAGGAGACTTGTTGCTCAGCAACCCCCTCTGGGAAGGCCACACATCTGAGAACCTCACTGGGAATCTAGACATTGGCCTGGATGTCCTCAAGTCTCAAAGCAAAGCAAGGGGGAGTGAAGGGAGATCAAAATGGATATAAGACCCTGAACCTAAAACCTCTGGTTGCTTTCTCTCCTTGCTTTTTCAAAGGCTGGGCATTTGAGCCCATAAATCCTGAAAAACCATTGATCTTTGAGACTGAGGGGTATGACACTGGGATTTTTTAAAAATGAAAACAGCCACCACCATTTACCAAGCTCTTACTATGCCAGGAGCTTTACATGCATTAATTAGCTCTTTTTGCCATTGTTCTAAAAACCCTCTTAGAGCAGCACTGTCTTTACTCCTAATTTACAGGTGGGAAAACTGAGGTGCAGAGAGATGAAGCAACCTGCCCCAGGACCTACTTCTAGAAAGCAGCAAAGTAGAGATTTGCATCATTGATGTTTTTACTTCAGAGCCTACATTTAAAAAAAAAAAAATTAC